ATTTGATTCAAAATCCAATATTGAAATCTTTATGGATATTCATCGATTAGCAAAGCCTATACAATTTTCAAGAAAAGAGCATTAGTCATTGAAGAATCTATGCATGTAACCTTTGATGGAACTAATTCTATTGATGAAGAGAAATTTATTGCTAATAATGTAGGTTTGGAAATTCTTTCGAGCAAATAAATATCTAAGATCAAAATAAGAAAGATCCAAAAGATAAACATGAGGTAGCAAATGTTGAACAAGGAAAAATAAAATCTTTCGGAGTACAAAATGATTCAACTCTACCTAAGGAATGAGGTTTGTCCCTTCTCACCCAAAAGAATTTATTATTGATGATCCATCCAAAGGTACAAGTACTAGAGGTTCTACAAGAAATTATTTCAATAGTAGAGTATTTATTTCGTAAGTTTAACTAAAGAATTTCAAAGAAGCTGATTTTGATGAATTTTGGATTTTAGTTATGCAAGAAGAACTAAATCAATTTGAAAGAAATAGTGTTTGAGATTTAGTCGTTAAACCAAATGAATAAACCGTTATTGTTACATAATGGTTAGATGAATTCAGGACAATTGTGCGTAACAAGGCTAGACTAGTGGCCCAAGGTTACAATCAATAAGAATACATCGATTTTGAGGAAACTTTTGCACCATTTGCTAGATTAGAATCTATTCGCATGCTTCTTGCATTTGCTTGCCATAAAAGTGAATTTCTAAATGACTTTGCTCAAGAAAGAGTCTTTGCACACAACCCCCAATTTTAACGATCACAAATGTCCAGATTATGTTTTCAAACTTAGAAAAGCTCTTCATGGTTTAAAGCAAGCTTCTAGAACTTGGTATGAAAGATAGAAATTTTTTTTTACTTTCAAATGGGTTTTCAATGAGTAAAGTGGATGCTACTCTCTTAATCAGAATAAAAAAAATGATATGATTATTGTTTAAATTTATATTGATAATATTATTTTTGGTGCAAATAATGTCTCTCTTATGAAGAATTTTCAAAATAGATGTGCAAGGAGTTTGATATGAGCATGATGGGAGAACTCAAATTCTTCTTTGGACTACAAATCAAACAAACTAATAATGGAATACTCATTAATTAAAGCAAGCACATTTTGGACATGCTCAAAAGGTTTGAAATGGAAGAATTGAAGCCAATGAACACTCCGACAAACTCATCCATAAAATTGGACAGAGATGACCAAGTTACTTTCGTTGACGTAACAAAATGTCGATACATGATCAGATCCCTTCTTTGTTTAACCGTAAGTAGACCCGATATTATGTTTTGTTTAATGTGTACTTATGTGATAGATTTCAATCTAATCCAAAAGAATCACACATTGCCGTAAAACGTATCTTTTGATATCTTAGTGACACTAGAACTTTAGGTCTTTGGTATCCAAAGAGCAACCACATTGATTTATTTAGCTATTCGGATGTTGATTGGGCCGATTGCACAATTGATCATAAGAGTACTAGCGGAACATGTTACTGTCTAGGCTTTTATCATGGTTTAGTAAGAAATAAAATTCCATTACACTGTCTCCTGTAGACGTCGAATATATCTTGGCTACTAGTTGTTATGTTTATGGATGAGATAAACTCTTAGTGATTATTACTTATCATTCAATCATATACCTAGTATGTATGGTAATACGAGTGCAAATAAGCTTATCAAAAAAAATCCCATATTGCACTCTCGAACTAAATACATTGAAATTAGACACCATTTTTGGAGAGAAAATGTACAAAATGGGGATATTTCATTTGAATTTGTGAATATGAAAAACCAATTGGCCAATATTCACAATAAACCTCTATGACTTGTTAGATTATTTTTTTTTTCAAAGAGGTTTGAGCTCATATGATGAATTTTAAATATGTGGCGAATGTATGTGGTCAATTGTTCATATAATTGTTGAGTTTATGTGCATCATTTGTATACAATTACACCATAAAAATTATACATTCATATTGAGAGAGATGGACGAGGGAACGGATGTTCACGTGGCATTTACCAAAAAAGACAGAAAAATCAACCAAATGCCTGGTGTGCTACGCCGATATTGTAGTTTGAATTCATGTTTTGAGATGGAAAGGTTTTAATGTTCGTGTGTGCATGTTTTTTTGAAGATTTCATAATTTTGCCACTATTTTCAAAATTGTGCTATGGTCGATAAATTTGGAATATTTTTAAATTAGTATTTCTTGAAAGCTTGAAGACTGAATTGATGATGACATTGTTTCATGGTTGATATAATATTTTTATGATGGTTTATTCAGTTCATTTGAGTTACAATGCTGGGATCTAAATATTTCCTGTTTCTGGCCTAAGTTTAAAAATTCACCTAGACCCAAATACTTGAAATTTTTCATATGAGTTGTCTATCTCTTGGCTTTCACATCACAAACTTTGGATGTGTAAAACTCAAGTTCTGAACATTTCCCAAGAGCTGCTAGAAAGTACCCGAGGACAAATAGATCCTATTTTGAAAATAATTTTAACCAATCTATTTATTGAATTTGTACAAAAAATTTTAACCTGAAATTCTCCTAAGTGTAAGATGTCTACGGTTTAAATTTTTTACATTTTGGATTTTATGTAGTTGTCGAATGAGATTTATTTTAGAAAGTCCCACAAGCCGAAAATCTAACTTTCCGAAAGAAAATTTCTTTAATTTTGTGATAGGTTCTCTGAAGTATTAATGCTTTTAGTACAAGTTAGATTTCCACATTTTGAGAACTATTTGGGTAGAGTTTTAAAAATTTAAGGTCTTTGTAATGTTACGAGCCCCAGAGCCCCAAAGTTCAGGGAGTTACCACTTGGTATCAGGGCACGGTTTAGCTTCCTGTAGATTTGCGAAACCTAAACTTGATTACAAAATTTTAATAATTGTGTGTTAAATAAATTATCTTGTTACCATCATGGCTGCCATTGTCACAAATCACCAGACTTTGAGGTAAAGAAAGTTTTAAGAAATTTATGTTATGCTATGGTATTTGAAAATATTTATGGGTGATTGTTTCCATTTAAATCATGAGAATTTATATTTAAAGAAGTCACGTTCGAGAATATGATTGAGATATTTTTTTTAGTTTTGAGAACATAACTAAATTATGAAAGTCCATTTTAGTCCTCAAAAATGATATAAAAAACCCACCTATTTGGACTTTATATAATTGATTTGGTACAGATGGCACAGACTAAGAGGACATGTAGGAAGATGTGTTCAATGAGACCTCGTCAATATGAGATTGTGAGGCAATATGAGGAGTATCAGTGGAATTCTGCGCATGATGTGGGCCTGCACATTAGGGAGATGTCAGTAAGATGGAGAGAGATGAGGCAACTAGGACATATGGTCACTGGTTGTCGGGCCACCTGTCTCCTTATTGCTACCTTGCTAAAAAAATGGCTAGAGATGGCCGAATCATTTTACAATTATTTGTGGGAAGTTGCTATACCCATTTTGCCTCAGGAGATTGACTATGTAGCCTTTTGCACAGAGCTGACAACAAAGTGGAGCCGGCTCGAGATGATACGCTTGCATATCCTTAGGGCGAGAGAGTACCTACTGAGATGAACATTCATGAGGATGCACCCCTACTATTTCAAACGATGAATCAAAAGCTTCCAAGAAATCTAGGTTTCTAGTGCTAGGGAATTTTTTGGTAGATTTTATTAGGTTTAGATTATGCCGATGACAAGTAGGATTTCCTTTTGCTTTTCAGTTGATTAGTACCAAACATTCTTTCATTAATTGAATTTCCTATAAAGGACTTAATTAATAATAAAATTGATTATTTCCTAATTTTATTGTGCAATGTGTGATTTTGTGATTTTCCTAGAGATTACAAACCTATTCCATTTTTGTATAAAGGAATTGGCACCAATATCACACACGAGAGCAATTAGAGAATTGCAACAAGCAGTAGAAGAAATGAGATAGGTCTTAATGGCACAAGCTACTCCGGCTGTACTATTGGCCTCGATCGGATAAGATGTATCGACAATGCCACCCATCACAACACAAACTGCCCCTATACCATCCTCTGTTCCTGCATCAACCACTGCTCTAACTGTACTAATCAGTGAGTAGTTTCGTCCATACCGGCCTCCTAACTTCGATGGCGATGATGACCCTTTGGCAGCAGAGGAATGGCTTCACACAATTGAGAAGATCTTTCGGCACATTTCTTGTCCTGAAAATCAGAAGGTGTTGTATGCAAAATTTATGCTGGTTTGAGGAGCCGGCCATTGGTAGGAATCCACATCACGTACACGAACAAATGAAGAACAATGTAATATGACATAGACCCAATTCAAGACAAACTTGATTGAGAAATATTTTTCGCAAGCCCTTCACAACCATAAGGAGATAGAGTTTTTACAACTAATGCAGGGAGATAGGGACATCACTGATTATTAGAGAAAGTTTGAGGAATTATCCCATTATGCCCTGCATCTCGTAATTATAGAGCTCTTGAAAGCAAAATACTTTGAGAAAGGACGCCCCCTAAGATCAAACAAATAATGAGTTCGCACGAACTCACCATTTATTGAGAAATTGTAAAGAAGACCCAAACTGTATCATTCTTAAATTTTAAACTTCGAAGCCAGGGATTTTCTAATGATATCGAAAAAAGAAGTGGCATGATTAGGGTAAAGATAAGAGCTCTGGACAGTTCAGAAAGCAAAATAACGGGCGTGACAATTAGACAATCATTTTCCTCCATGCCCTAAGTGCATAAAATCTCATAGGGGTGAATGCTTGTTCGGCAAGAATGACTGTTACAAGTGTGGCCAGTTACGACACTATGCTTCACGGTGTCAGGCAATGCCAGTTAAAGATGCTGAAATGAGAAAAAAGGGAATACGAGAATTTTTGCTATGACACACATGATGAGGCCACCCAAGATCCAAACATAATTACAAGTATTTTATCTATTTATGGTATTCCTGTTTACGTTTTTATTGATTTCGGTGTGATGTATTCATTTATATCTGCTACATGCCTAGCCAATATCAACGTTTCATGTGAGAAAACTAGCAGTACACTTGAAGTTAGTATGCCATCGGGAGGAGTCACTGATACAAATAAGATTGCTAAAGTAGTGCAAATAGATTTTGACGGGCTAATCCTTAAGATAGATTTACATGTCATAGAATTAAAAGATTTTGACATTATTTTGAGTATAGATTGGTTAGGTAGCAATAGAGCTACAATTGTATGTTTTGAGAAGGAGGTGATCTTCAAAAGGCTAGGAGATGAAGAGTTTAGATTTTATGGTTCAAAGATTAAGGCATTCCTTCATCTTATCACGGCTATGTAAGCAGAAAGGTTATTGAGGAAGAAAACTTGTCGAGTATATCTTGTTAGCCTTACAGGCACACTATTAGAAGAGTTAACATTGAATAAAGTACCTGTTGTGCAAGAATACGCTGATATATTTCCTAATGACCTACTGGGTGCCTCAATTGATAGACAAGTGGAGTTTACAATAGATTTGATACCTGGAGTTGCAACGGTGTCTAAAGCTCCATATCGTATGACACTAAAAGAACTATAGAAGTTAAAAATGCAGTTGGAAGAACTTCTAAATAAATGTTTTATCAGACCTAGTGTGTCTCCATGGGGAGCTCCAGTACTTTTTATGAAAAAGAAAGATAGAACCACGAGAGTATGTCTATTGAGAGTTGAACAAGTTGACTATTAAGAATAAGTATCCTCTCCCAAGAATTAAAGATTTATTTAATCAATTGAATGCTGCAACCGTATTTTTAAAGATTGATTTGAGGTTAGGCTATCACCAACCAAATATCAAACCAGTGACACACCTAAAACAGCATTTAGAACTCGCTACCAACATTACGAGTTTATAATTATGCCATTTGGACTTACTAATGTCCTTGTTGTATTCATGGATTTGATGAATAGAATATTCCATGAGTATCTGCACAAGTACGTGATTGTGTTTCTTGATGACATACTGGTGTATTTAAGAGATTCTTAGTAGCATGAAAACTATTTGAGGACAATTTTAGGAACTTTATCTGTGTACCCAAGGATGAAGAAATAAGAAAGGAGATTATGACTGAGGTTCATTATTCTCCATATGCCTGCACGCCTGGGCTCTACAAAGATGTACAAAGACTTTCGTACTACCTTTTTGGTGGAGGAATATGAAATAAGTAATAGCTTTGTTTGTATCGAAGTGTATTGTTTGTTAGCAGGTGAAAGCATAGCATCAGAGACCATCAAGGCTATTAACTCTAATAGACATACTAGAATGTAAGTGGGAAAAAATCTCGATGGATTTTGTAGTAGGTATTCCTAGGTCGCGAAAGGTCATGATGCCATCTAGGTCATAGTAGACCGACCTTCATATGACTTTCAATCTGGAACAATTTGCACAATTATATGTCAGAGAAATCATTTGACTTCATAGGGGTATTAACGTCTATTGTTTTGGACATAGAACTAATATTCACTTCAAAATTTTGGATGAGTCTTCAGAAAGCTATGGGAACTAAGTTATTTTTCAGTATAGCATATCATCCTCAGATCGATGGACAATCAGAATGAACTATCCAAGTATTAGAAGATATGTTAAGGGCATATATACTATATTTGGATTGTAAATGGGATAACCATTTGCCGTTGGTGGAGTTTGCATGTAATATTGTTTTCAAGCTACTATCACTATGCCACCATTCGAGGCATTGTGTGGCCAAAGATGTCGTTCGCCAATATGTTGGGATGAGGTTGGCGAGAGGAAAATCCTGGGTCCAGAACTTATTGAGAAGACTGCGGAGGCTATAGATAAGATCAGAATGAGGATTAAGATAGCTCAAGATCGCTAAAAGAGTGAAACAGATAAAAAAAAGAACTAGAATTTGAGGTGGGAGAAAAAGTATTTTTCAAGGTCGCCTTGACAAAAGGGGTACTATAATTTGGAAAGAAATGAAAGTTGAAACCAAGATTTATTGGTCCATTTGAGATCCTGGAAAAGGTGGGAAATGTAGCATATCATTTGGCACTGTGAGCCATCGGCAATGCATGATGTATTTCATATTTCTATGTTGAAGAAGTATATCGACGAAGTATATCGATGACCCAAGTCACATGGTTAATGCTAAGTTGTTGGACGTGCGGAGTGATATGACTTATGAAGAAGCACTTGTAATAGTTTTAGAGAGGAAGGTACACATTTTGAGAAATTGATAAGTGCCATGAGTCAAAGTCCAATTGGGTAGACATGGGAAAGATGAGGCTACAAGGGAGAGAGAAGCATATGTTTTGGCCAAGTATCCAGACTTTATCAATTGAGTAAATTAAATTTTGAGGACGAAATTATTTTAAAGGGTGAGGATTGTAGTAACCGAAAATAAACTTTCACCAATTTCATCTCCACATATTTTGTTAATTTGAGATACCGAAGGACAAATTTAAAAATAAGTCTTTATGTCAAAATTTTAGCTTTCGGTCAAATAATCAAATATTCTTCTAGCGAGAAATTTCATATTGATATTGGGCTTGTTTTGAAGCTCATATTAAATGACGAATTTTGTACTCGAGAAAAAAGTTGTTTCGGATAAGCTAGGCCTAAGCTATGGTTGTTCAAAGGGAGTCCTATTTTAATTCAAGTTAATAAAGCAATTAAATCGTTTTGGTAACCACTAGATAAGTTGAGTTTGATAATTTCTAGCCAATTTACATTTATTGTTTCACTATTTGAAAATGAAAAGTAAAATTTTGTTATTGGAATTCAATCTTTATCCAAATGCAGCCAATTAGTTTTTTATGATAAATTTTGAATTGTTCCAGGAACCATTTGACTTAATCCCAGATTCTAGTTCATGTGTAGATTTCAATAAAATTAAGATGCTATTTTATAGTAATTAAAGCTAATTTATGTTGATTGGGTTGTTAGGGATCAAAAGGAGTCCTACTCCAATTGGACTTGAAATTCAAATTAGTGGGACTTTAGTTCCCATTTTTAATAGAAGACTGGGCATACCACATCTTCTTATTCACGCCATTTTAAAAAGAACCCATCAGTAATATCCGAGGCCAATTGATTCTCTTATGTTAGTCATTTTTAATATTCAATTACAAAGGAATTCAGTTCAACATGGGGACTTCCGCAACACCACGAGCTAAGGTAGGATCCCTACGCAAAATTGTTGCTACATGAATTTAATTTTTAATTAAGCATGTTATTTGTTATATTTGTATGAATTATATAAAATGCCTTTAGAGTTTTCTATTAAATTTTGATGAAAGAAAGGTTTATATATGTTTAAACTGATGGTCGTAGAAGCTCATTAGAACCTTAAATATATATGTTAAATTGATAGTCGCAGAGGTTCATCAGAACTTTAAGTAGATCGTTAGATCATTGATTTACTTATTTATGAAGGCAACATGTAAGAATTCATGATTAAATATATGATTATTATGTTCATATATCATGTATAGCCTATTAAGTATTTCTTTGAGATGCGCACTGCTATTTAACCCTTTTCAAAGTAATCGAAGATTCGATGGTGGTTTGGCATGTATGGCATGATTTTTAGAAGAATTATTTCTTATGTTTTAGATTGCCACTTTATGTTTAATAATCATTGGGTGTCCTTGAGATTGTAGATTGAATTCATGTTTTGAGACGGAAAGCTTTTAATGTTTGTGTGCTTTTTTATTTTTTATTTTATTTTTTTGGTTGAAGATTTCATAATTTTGTCATATTTTCAAAATTGTGTTGTGGTCAATAAATTTGGATTATTTTCAAATTTATATTTTCTTGAAGGTTTGAAGACCGAATGGATGATGACATTGTTTCATGGTTGATATAATATTTTTATGGTGGTTTATTTAGTTGATTTGAGTTACAACACTGGGATCTAAATATTTCCAATTTCTAGCTTAAGTTAAATTCACCTAGACCTAAATACTTGGAATTTTGAGGTCATTCAAGTTGGAAACAATAGTCATATGAGTTATCTATCTCAGCGAACTTTGGATGTGTAAAACTCAAGTTATGTATGTTTTCTTGAGAGCCGTTACAGAGTACCTGAGAACAAATAAATCCGGATTTTAAAATAATTTTGACCAGCTATCAATTGAATTTGTACATGAAATTTTAATCAGAAATTCTCCTAATTGTAAGATGTTTACAGTTTAAATTTTGAACATTTTGGATTTCATTTAGTTGTCGAATGAGATTTATTTTAGAAAGTCGCACAAGCTGAAAATCTAAACTTTCCGAAAGAAAATTTCTTTAATCTTGTGACAGGTTCTCTAAAGTCTTAATGCTTTTAGTACAAGTTAAATTTCCGCATTTTATGAACTATTTAGATAGAGTTTTACAAATTTAAGGTCTTTGTAATGTCACGAACCGGCGTTACATAGTGTATTTCAAAACAATTTAGTTTTATTTCTCTTTTTACTTGGGTACTTTACCTTTTGCTTGATATACATTTCTCACGGCTTCTACTGAATTGTGTGAAAATGCTACAATGTGTATTATCATATTGGAAAATCAGTTCATGGATATTTGATTTTTCTTATGACAAGAGCTCAAGTGTATACTAATCTTAGAATTTAGTACCTGTTGAAACAACCTATAAAACACATTGTACACTGTGATATTGTAGTAATATTTCAAATATATTTGTTAGGCAATTTGTTGTCAAACGATCTCCCAGGTAATGATTTAACCTCGGTTTTATTTATTATCAGTCAGCCTTGGCTATATGATTGAACTATATGTTGACACTATCATCGAGACAGTCCAACCCAATTTTCTACGGACCATTAGAAGCAACCTATTTTAATAGTGTTGCTCGTGGTCCGTCCCATTTATTTGGATGGCTATGATATCTAGCCCATTATCTTTGTGCTGAGCCTTTTTTGGACCACTAAGTTAACCTACCCTTACTTACCTTATTTGGTTACTCTTTTAGGCTATAATTCTTGGCTTCCCTATACCTCCAAGATGCAGTCTTCTCCATCTCTCTCTGTGACCTCTTCTCTGCTAATTCTCGGCCTCTTTCTCTCAAGCAACCAATGAGGTTTCTCTTGGGAATATTGTTCTCATCTTGGCCGACTCTTTGTGGGTATGAATAACAACCGTAGATGGGAAGAAGAAAAGAGAAAGTTGGGTGTGTCTTAATAGTGGTGGTGTCGACTTTCGTGGAAACTGAGCCTGGTATCACCTTGGGTATTGCTGGATTGTTGGCCTCACATCTGGTATCAAAGCCAAGGGCTAGATTTTCTATGAGAACTAGTCCAAAATCGAGAGAGAGAGAGAGACGCCATTCTTCAAACTGACCAAACTGAAATTCGTTAATTAGCTCAAACCATACCTTCGTTGGATAAATTGACCCAGGACCCATCATCAGCACGGTGAGGTACCTCCTGTGAGGCGGCGCGTGGAGGAGCTCCTACGTGGTTTTTTTGTGCCATTCCATTTATTTTGATTCCCTGAACGTACTAATGTGTTTAGTTCAGTGCTTCAGGTTGTGCAAAAAATTTGGACGATTTTGCCCCTGATTATAATCTGCATTT